AACACATTGGAAATCTTGGTATTAGTCTTCTAATATTCTGTGTGGGTGCAAAATTCACTATCTATTTATCACACTTCCTGGTCCAAACTTAACTACTAAAAATATCTGTACTTACTACTTAATCTGTGATTTGGCAAATACAGAAAAAGAAAGCTGAAGTTGAGTGTGTTTTAAATGTTTCTTACTTCTTCTATGTTAGCAAATAAAATAAACCAAGCATCTATATAAATAATGATTGCAAAAGGTATTTTTGTGCATAAATTGCCATTATATACCTTCAGTTCTTCAAAATTTAAATTTACAAAATGACCTTGGAAAATCATAGCAATAAATATGAGTGTAAAGAAGCTTTCAAGATATGATTCCCAAGGCTAGAATTAGACCATGACAGAAATAAAGTGTATGAAAGAGAGTAAAAGAGAAATATGTTTCAACATCTTAGAATAATGACATGCTTGAATGATTTAAAAGACTGCATTGATATAGGGCTGGTAGATGGGGGCCACCACAGGTTAGGAGGAGAAAATTCTGAAACAATTGTACTTTAGAGCACTGATGGAGGTTTGCATGATTAAAAGTCCTTGCAGTTACACATGAGATTACTTAAAGGTACATTTTCAAATAGAGCGACATAGAAGTTGCCAAAAACTGTTGATTCAAATTGAAATATGCACAGTAGCAAATTTACCGAAGCACCCAGCTGAGATATATCAAAGTTTATAGACCTTGACAGATCCTGATCACTCATCCAGATTACACTTATGGAGTCTCACACTCATCAAGGCCCAACTCACTTAAACAAAGTTCATATGTAAGTTCTGTTAGCAGTGTACAGTTAAATCCTATTTATAAATTATTTATCTAGTATCCCTTGTACTGCAGGCAAATGTAAATTTTAAGTAAAAGAAAACATATAATTAGTTCATCATTGTTTTCCAAATCCTCAAACTTTTCTAACCAACGTTGTGATTTGTTGACATTATTATCCAAATGTCAATACCAAAAACAAATTTTACGGTAGCAAGCTGTTTTTGGATATTGAACAGATCATAGTAGAGAAATTAAATTATTTGCATAAGGTCGATAGTGGGAAAAAATGTCAATAATCGATGTAATGATTGTGTTAGCCAAATAGATTTTTTGATTCAAGCTTTCCATATAATATTAGAAAGCAATTAATTTATCAGTTTCTATTTTTGTTTGGTTTAAGAATACAAGCAGTTAACCAAGTCCATTCTTTTTCATTTTTATAAAGACAATGTATTTTTCTGGTGGGGAGCGCAGTGAGTGAGTGGAGGGAAGGGAGAAACAGAACTGTGGGACACGAAAAAAAACACTTTCAAATGACAGTCTAAGATTTAGTTACCTATTTTTTAAAAACTGTTTTGTTTTCTTTTGTATTGGGAACATGGCACAATACTACAATGTGAAGCTTTTTACCATGAATTATTTATAAATAAATCAGAATAACCGTATATTGTTTCTACACTATTCAAATTTATAACAAGCTAAAAATTTTTAAAAACAGATGACTGTGGAGAAACTGTGATGGCTGAAAATGGAACTAACTTCACACCAGCAAAACTGATGCAACAACAACTGTGCCATGGGATAACTGTACTTACGTTCATTAGACCTTGGAATGTGTTCAGGGAATAAAACACTATGGGGTCAAAGTGAGTAGGTGGTAAAATAGCCAAGTGAGCACAACATGAAGTGAATAAAGTGACTGATTCGACACTTTGGAATTTGTGAGATTGCGTATTGAAGCAAACACTTCTGTGTCTCTTTTCTTCCTGAAACCATATTCAGGAATGGGCCTGGGGGAGGCCTGTGCATACACAAAGCCTCCTGCTGGGCTGGTGCCTGTCATTGGCTGATGGTACTGATCTGCTGGGGAGATGTAAAGCTGTGAGTAGGAGGATGTTAGCAGCATTTAGAAGAGTAATAAGTGAAGAAGAATTTCAAAAAAGCAAGCATCACCACTGCTCTTAGTCTTGCTGTAACAAAATCTAAAGGAACACTGCAACATAAGAATATTTATACTTAACCTGATAATCTTTACACAACTCCTTCAAACTAATGCCAAAATCTGTCATAATTAATTTCAAGTATATTGAAATGAATTAAATGGAGATATACAACTGCAGCAGCAATGACAAATCTGTGGTTATTTGAATGCAAATTTTAGTGCCTGAATTTTATTTGACCAAACCAATAAATAAAGACTGGTATATATGCAGTGTCTTATCTCCAAAACATTTCTCTGCAAGATTCTGAAGAAAACCACAACCAACTTATTTCTAATTCATTGACTGCTAAGAAGCCACGTTGTGCACAGTGAGATCCCAATAATGACAGTAAATCTGTGGTTTGGGATAAGGGAGGGGTGTTGCTTAAGGGGGATGGGTGGTGGTGTATGTGCAGAAATTTTGGCTGGGTCAGTTACGTATTCCTTTTTGAATAATATCCTGGAATGGGATCCAGCTAAACCAGGACAAAGGGACTTGATTTAATCGTATATCCAGGGAGTAGCACCTCAGAGAGTCAGCAAATCTTTTGGACTGTCAACACAAAATTTTAGGGTTTAAATTCCAGGTTAGTTTAAAGGTTGTATTCTTAAGATTCTGAAGTAAGTTTGGCCTCAACACTTTCAAGTTGGGATGGATAAATTCAATTAATGACTTTAATTGGTAAATGAGAATACGTTTAAAAATCACAGAATTGTTACACTGCAGAAGGAACTTCATGTCTGGATCTCTGAATGAACATTATCATTTAATACCATTTACCCTCCTTCTCCTCATGACCCTGCATATTATTTCTATTTAAATAATCATTTAATGTCCGCTTTTATGCCTCCATTGTATCTGTCTCCATTACACTTCCCAGGTAGTGCTTTCAGGATCTGAACCAGTCACTGCGTGGAAAAGATCTTTTTCAAATCCCATTTGCTTCTTTTGCAAATTACTTTCAACCCGTGCCCTCTCATTTTCAATCCTTCTATGAGTAGGACAGTTTCTTCTTCCCTACTCTGGACAGACCTTTATGGTTTTGAAGACTGCTGTCAAATTTCCCTCTTTGCAGTCTCCTAGGAAATCAATTCCAACTTCTCCAATCTATCTTCATAACTGAAGTTTCCCATCCCGTGTAATGCGTTAGCAGTTTATTTATTTAGATTGCAATTTTTTTCTTTGCTATTGGCTTCAATCAATCCCAATGAATATATCACATGAAGACGATCCATATTTTACACCCTACCTACAGTATTAAATGGTGGTAACTTTTTTTTACATAATACAGCATTTGGTATTTTATAATTTTCTGCAGGTTGGCAGATGAACTCTTTACACCAACAAGAAATTCAGTCTCGATGTATCTGCTGGATTTAAATGCGCCTGTTGTAATTTGTAGTGAACCCAAAAATGACTGCACAGTATTAAATAGAAAATACGGTGCTATCTAACGGTTTGTTTTGTTACAATTCATTCGCCACGTGTTCGTGAATAGGTGCTCGTTAAAATACAGGTTTCGTTTCTGTGTTTTCACGGTCTGCTGTGAATGAAAAGCACATCGAACCGAATTCTCATCCACAAACTTTTCGTTAGCCTAAAGTTCTAATCAGGGCAGTGCGAGTTTGCTTTCCCGTAACTGTATTGAACCCGAAGGGCTGTAGCGATTCCACTTGGTGGCGCTGGCAGGTAAGTTGCAAGGCGAGCAAACCAGTTGTCCTCCATCCAGTTGTAGCTATTTCAGCAAAGCTGAGTCTGTTTGTCTACTTCGCGACGGGAATCATTCGTCACTTGGACGGAAATGGCACAAAACGACAAGCTGAGAAAACGGGTTTGGGTGAGATGAGAAACAGGCATTAGATCCAGCCATCTGGGCCCGAGATTTAATACATTATTGAAACAACTTCTGAAAAGTTACACGAGAGGTTAATGTTATGCTCCGGTTGAGTGTTTGTAAAGCAACACCCGCCACCACACACCAACCTCCAGCGAAATGTAACAGATATTCATATTGGCATGCCCAATAAATCCCACAGTGTTGGAAATATACCAATGTTTAATACAGTCGTACAATTGTACGGTTCTTGCTGCAAGAAACTCCATTGTTGGGATATTCAGTCACTCCAATAACACACGATTGAAATATTTATAAGGCACAACGTGAAGGAAAGCGCCAGTACAGGAAAAAAATATATTCCGATGGTGAAGATTGGTGGAACGTCTTGCTTTGCCCACCTGGGAACAAGCCAGGGGCTGGTCTTTGGCATTGGCTTAAAGCCATGGATGATTTGATTGGTGAAACTATTAGAATGAGCGAAGAGCACATGAAAACATATGGTGCAATTCCAAACTCTGAACGCTGAGAGCACGGGACCACCTTAAACCCTGGAGCTCTGCAGAAGTCTTTCTCTGTCCTGCCCACGTGCTACACTCAAAATGTTGCAAACCTGCACCCTCAAATCAGATACCAGCTAGTGTCAAAATGCTTGGTGTCCGTCCCCAAAATGATAACTCTGGGGAGGGACTTTTAAAAATGATGAAGGGGAGAGAGTGCAGAAATATCCAACGTTGTGTTGATTTGAGAGTGGCGAACGTGTTCAGCCAGTGTGTAGAGATCGGAGAACTGTGTGTATGTACTGGCGTCTCTCTCTCTCTGTCACTGATACAGGTCTCCAGCAAAACCACACGTGAGAATTGAAGGAGATTTGCCGCAGTCAGTTAGAGAGAGAGTGTGTGTGTGTGTGTGTGAGAGAGAGAGAGAGGGGGGGACTATCTCCATACTGTTATTTGGGGCTCTTGCTCTCACTCTGAAGGCTAGTTCAGGCCCGGGGTGGGGATTCGTGTTTGGAGTTGGGGGTAGAAGCAGAGAGAATTAGAAGCAGAACCCCAACTGGTTTGATTGACGGCTGACGTCAGGCTCTGTCCCCGCCCTCCCCGGCAATGTCTACAAACTGCACCTCCCAAAGTCCACTTGCTATTCCACCGGGAAACTGGGCAGACAGGCAGGCGAGCTGAGAGAGGAGAGCGACAACTAACCATGGCCTGGATTGTACAGTTAGCTGCCTTGGCGCTCACCCTCCGCTTTGCTACCGCCTTCTACAACTCCAAGCTGCACCCGCCTAACCAGGGTAAGTCGGATCGTCTCCTCCCCACACGCCCCGGGGAAGTTGCGAGGGTTTGTGAACTTGGAGCGGAGCTATCCCCTATACTGCAGCAAACGTGAACAGTGCATCGGGGCTATAGCACGCAACGATGGGAGGTCAGGGCAGTAACACAGAGGGCAGATACCCAGAGCCTGGCTCTTAAAGTCTATTCACCTCCCTCCCTCCCTCGTCATTCCTCACTACCTGTCTCCCTCCGGCTCCCTCTCCACGGCTTGCTCCGGGCCAGCTAGGTCTCCCGACCCTGCGGGCTTTTAAACTGTTCGAGCAGGTTCCTTTCAAACTTTTTTTTCCCCACTACCCACTGAGCTAGGGAAGTGCCCTTCTTGGTCAGTGTGCTGCCCGCAATGTGTGTGTGTGTGTGTACGCGACAGTCTGTACCTTCCCCAGCCCCGAGCCTAACCCAACACCTTCAATAATCGACCGTAGGAGCTGTGTTCACAAAAATGACCAGCCTTTTAGCAGCTCTTACACCGAGCAGGGAATTCGCGTTGGAAATGAGAAACAGTTCAAGGTTGTGTAGCATTGCAATCTGAATGGGATTGAGGATTTTAAGAGTTACTATATATATTTTAAAAACGTACTTTTCACAGCAATTGGGTCATTTGAATGCAGCAATAGCGGGTTAACTATTTTCCTGAAGAGTTTTAATGGGGGGGTCGCAGGGGGAGGTGCAGAGAAGCACAAAAGGCACAGTTTCTCCACTGAGGGCAGCCCTGGTTTGTGGCGAGCGCTGTTCAGCATTCAGACCACGTCCCCACTCCTTCATTGTCCTCCCGCTATGTAGTCCACGTCTCAGCTCATCCCAATGGAGCAAGCAAGCAAGCAATGGGGGAGGGGGTGGGGTGGTGGGCTGGTAGTCAGCTTTTTCACCCATCTCCCCTGCAAACCCGCTCTGCTCAGTGAGGTGCCAGTCATCAGAAGTTGGTGGGTGCTTTCCAACAATTCTTGAACTGCGCCCCACTAACCATTTGCTGCTGGCATTCAGAGCTGCTTTCACACTGAAGAAAACCATGCACTAGGAAGAAATTACCCCCCCCCCATTAAAATCCACTGATTCCTGCTTTTTGCACCACCCCCTCCCAGGGGTGATCTTGCACACTGCGCCGCTGGCAGACCAGCGTCTTTAAGTATTCTTCTGTCTCCCCTTGCCCTTGCCAACAGACAGTGAGAGGGAGGGGTAGTGCTGGCTCGCTACCTGAGCGTCCAAACCGCTGCATGTGGCAGGATCCTCCTGTCTGCACCATATCAAATCAAGCAGGGACTTCTCCCTCTCCTTCTTTCAACCATCTAAAAATACTGACCACTGCAAACGCGCCCCTGCCGAGTGTTGCTGAACACTATCTTCCAGTCAAAGTCTGGGTAATAACGTATGGCCTGGTGCCTCTTGAATTACGGTGCACGCACGTTTCAATCAAACCTAAACAGGTTCAGACCGGGCCCCGGCGATATTAAGCAGATAAGCTGCAGCTAGGACAAGTCGTATCAAGGTTCACTTCTTCTGAAATGCATTCGCAGTTGAGCAAGGTGGGTTGAAGCTATTTGGAAATACGCAGAAGTTGGGAGTGGGTCTTTATTTGCTGCTACATTTCTCCTAATGGCTTGTTCTTTCACTCCCCACAGTTGTTCTCTTGGACTCCCGGTCTGTCCAGGGCGAGCTGGGCTGGGAAGCTTTCCCCTCCGAAGGCGGAGTGAGTATTCAACTTGAACTCTCTCACACACACACACATTGAGAACGATTCCATTCCCAGCTCCCGGCAGCGTGTTGGAGCGGGTCGCGGCAGGAGGGTCAGGTTTCTGAAAGTGCTCCCCTTGAACTGAATCACTTTTTGTCCCGGGAAAATGATACCTTCCCTTCGGGGGGAGGAGTTTAGCCTTCCAGCATTGGAAACCCGAAAGGGCAGCAGCAGAACCGAGCTGGTCAAGTAGAACAGGAACGAGGTGGTTTTATTAATGATCAAATGGTTCTGAAAGCCAGGATCAACCCTTAAGACTGTGCCCCGGAGGAGGGGTTAGAGTACAGAATGACAATGGCTCACCATTAAAACGGACTGCGAATTCCTCGAAAGAGTCTTCTCAGACTGAATTCAGCCAATTACTGAAGGGTTTAGGAAGGATTACAATCAGCGAAAAGTGGGGACCGGTTGAATGTGGAAGGGATTCATTTGTGTGGGAACAGACCGGTTCTTGAATGTAGCCAGCTTTGTCGGGACTTAAATGGGAGGGGGAAGGGGAGAGCCTGGTGCAGAGTTCGGGGAGCTAGGGGGAATCAGACCTGCACACCGCTTCCACTTGTAGGCCAGTGACAATTGGCCAACAGAAGGGAGCCAAGTTCCTGCCATCGACCCACGGTCAGGAACTAGCCATTGCAACTCTCCCCAAGACACAGTGTAATCAACCAACCGGGCCTGAATCCTCTCTCTTTTGTTTTTCTAAAAAGAAGCGAATTTTCTTTCCAATTTCCCTTCAAGAAAATCTGCAAACGAGAACAATCAACTCCAGTTTGAATCGAGGTAGACTCCCAGTGGTTGAAATAGGGAATGTAAGGAAGGCTGTCATTCACTATGCTTTAGTTGTCATTAAACATTAGCACTGCGTTGCTGCTCTCACTGATCGGCATTGCATTACCGATTCTGTTGTAGAAATAGTGGTTTCTGAAGTAACAAGCCTAAAGGAGGTTGGCGGGGGGTGGGGGAGAGGCGAGCTGAACTTTAGCTGCATCTTCTCTTTGCTCCGTGTGCATTTGCACGGTGCTGGTTGTGGATCGGTATTCCCGAGTGGAGGATGAGACCGCCGTCAGCACCGTTCGCCGGCGTGTGTCTCCCATTCGCTGGGCACTGGAGGGAGGGAGAGAGCTGGGGCTGGGGGTTTAATTAGTTAGTAAATGTATCCCCGCTTTATCTCAGTCAGAGTCACATCCCCACTCGAAACGAACATCCAGGGCAAGGTCCACTGACTGTAGAGGGAACTGTCTCATCCCTACTGCAGGGGAACTGGAGTGGGGACAGCAGAGTAGCGCAGTATTGAACGAACCGATTTGGTTCTGATTGATGGGCCGGTCAATAAAGTCTGCCCGTGGCTCTGGCTGCGGGCAAGTAGGGCACGTTTTTTCATTATTTACAAAACGGAGTTTAATGTTGAAACGCTTTTCATTTAATTGAGAGGTTCGCTGCTTTCATAACAGGTACTTCAACTCTATTTATAAACCCTTGTGAAAAATTAAATAGTCCCTTGCTTCTGTGCCGCACAAAATGCACTTGAAGCATTTCTTTAGATTTCCCTGGGTCAATGTTTGAATACAATACGGTATCCAGGGAAATATTTTGACTTTACGTTTTCAAATACAACTTCTAAAAATATGCTCAGACGGTGTTTACATTGAAAGGCATGATTTACCGTAAACATTTTTTTTAAAAGCTGCTCGTACCTATGAAAAATAAATGAGTGCTTAAAATTAATTAACACGAGCGGCGAGGCACTCGAGCGGTTTGAACATCGCACAATCATTCTGAGCAGTTGATGAAGGTTGTGGAGAATGAGAGGCAGACATGACCCTGCCGTGTAGCTTCGTTTGAAGCCAGCTTCTAATTAGAGTTTATCGTTTTGTCGCTAACAAGATTTAACACATTGCTGATAAATTAAACCCTGGAACCCAATCTCCCGGGAGCTCAGAATGGCGCGATGGCCGCTGAATCTTTATTAATTCCCTGGCAAGTCAGGGTAATGACCGAGATATTATGGGACTGACATGAAGATTCATGTGTGGCAAGACAGCAGGTGCACTGTCTCCACTTTCTCTAATTAAACCTAACCAGCCACGCTGACAAATGCGGAATGAAAGGTTATACTCAGCCTTCAGTTAAATACCATCCAAATTCAAGCTTCATTCTACACCGCGCACACAATCATCCTTTCCCGTTTGAAGCAAATACGTGTAGCCTGATTATGAATGCTGTGTATTGAGTCATTATGTAACTTTTTTAAAAATGTGAATTATTTTAAAATGATTCAACTTTACATGTTTATAACAGTTTCATTTTACAGGACTATAACAAGTTATTGTTGAGTACACCTTACAAAAGTTAGATTGTTTCCATCAATCATACATGAATTAGGATTCGTCCAAAAGCCATTACCCTTGCTTCTGATTATGCCTTTACAAAACTATCTCTGCAGTGACTTCCAGTACTGTCTCCAATTACATTCTCTGTTGTTCTATCCCAAGTATATTGCACATTTTGTCCTTCCATTTCCCTTGGGAACAGTCTCCTGTATGCTTATACATTGATTCCACAGTCCATCTTCAAGAAACTCCTGGAAACCTGTGTCACCATCAGTCATCTCCCTTAAAGTTTTATTGTTCCTTGGCATCTGCCTCTCCCTTCAGGAAGCATCTTATACCTGTAGTTATTTGATGAAACGTACTACAAAAATGCATGCAATTTGTTCAATATTTAGCCAACCAGCTCCATTTAACATCCATCATTATTGGATTTATTGAAAGTAGAATGAGACGTGGCCTTGGGCAATGTAGATTACACTTTCACACTGCAAGCATTTCTCCAAAAGTGTAAACTCTATATTAATGAGGGCAAACTGTGCTACACAGTAATGTGTAGACATGAAAGTAAAAGATACATGTGTTTTGTTTTAACAGTGGGAGGAAGTAAGTATCATGGATGAGAAGAATACTCCAATTCGTACGTACCAGGTCTGTAATGTGATGGAAGCAAATCAAAATAACTGGCTGCGGACTGATTGGGTCCCTCGTGAGGGAGCCCAGAGAGTTTACATAGAGATTAAGTTTACCCTTAGGGACTGCAACAGTCTGCCAGGTGTCATGGGAACATGCAAAGAGACATTTAACCTATTTTACTTTGAGTCAAATAATGATAATGAGTGGTATATCTCAGAAAACCGGTACATAAAGATTGACACCATTGCAGCTGATGAGAGTTTTACTCAAGTGGACATTGGCGATCGTGTGATGAAACTGAATACTGAAGTCCGGGATGTAGGACCACTGACTAAGAAAGGCTTCTACTTGGCATTTCAAGATGTAGGTGCCTGCATTGCTTTGGTATCTGTCCGTGTTTTCTATAAGAAATGCCCACTGACAGTACACAACTTGGCACAGTTCCCTGACACCATCACAGGCGCTGACACCTCATCCCTTGTGGAAGTCCGTGGTTCCTGTGTGAACAATTCTGAGGAGAAAGATGAGCCAAAAATGTATTGTGGTGCAGATGGAGAATGGCTCGTGCCCATTGGCAATTGCTTGTGTAACACTGGATATGAAGAACAGAATGGAGAGTGCCAAGGTAGGGTAATAATAATGTATTTGGACTTATTTCATTTTGATTTTGTACATAAGTAATTTCACTAGTGATGAGACTGTATCGTGCAAACAGGGATAATTAGCTGGTCCAGTGGGACTTAATAAGACAGAACAATGTGATTAACAATTCTGTCAGTTCCACGTGGTGTTTCTTTGACTCTGTAGTATAACAGACAGGCTGAAGTACAGAAAACAAATTGCTTGTTTACAAATAGTTTTGAAAATTTTATTTTACTATCAGAAATTTAAAACATTAGAAATTGTAAGTTATCTTTTCATAAAGGAATCAAAGTCAAACATGCATTATTTGTCACAGAAATCAGTTAATGTAGCACACTCTTCTATGTTTAATATTTAAGATTTTAATATTGGATTGAATACCCATTTCAATGCCAATGATAATGTCACTGGGCCCGTATCTAATTCCTTGATGTAAACAACCTCTTGTTGGTCATTGTGATGCCATACTGACTTCTCTTGCAAATTCATATCATTCAAAAGGACACAAAATTACAATAATATTTTAGTATAACTATATTTTTGTAAAGCTGTTAACTTAAGCTGATATAATTCGCAAAATGCCACATTATAGAACCTCAGAGATTTTCAAATTATTTATTTTCAAATTGCTGCAATGCCGTCGTGTTATACTGCAGTTAAGGTGGAATCCCGTATCATTTATCTAAAAATCATAATCTTGTTGATTAATGAGAAATTATTGCTGCAGCTTTCCACTGTAGTTAATGCATCTAAAGGTAAGTGCAAATTGCAAGTGACCCCCCAATGTTAGGAATAAAATAAACATAGTATTGAATCTATTACACTGAATTAAGCAGAATGTCATTTAGTTTCTGCTAAATTTTAAAAAGAAGGATGTAACTTGAGCATCAATAGGAATGGCATGAATTAATTTTTACTGTGAATTATCCATTTTTAGAAATTGTTGAAGAAATTTTTGATTGTGAGCTGCTAACAAAGAAAAATAACATCATTGTACTTAAGCACTGGATAACTTATTTGTGTGTACAGTAAAATTGCACTTTAAAAAGAAGCTGGAACAGCATGAAATTGCAAAATATCTGTCAAATCAATTTAATAGTTTTAATCAGAAGTGCTGTATTTTCTTGCGTACTTTCATAGTTTAAGTATTCATATATTTCCTTTTCCTTGAGTTGTACTGTGTTGATTTCACTCCAGTTTTAATGTGGGAAAAGAAATACCAGCCACCTTTTCATATATTTTATAGACTTTGTAATCTGTTTAGTTTGGCCATGCTAGGGATGATCAAGAGTTGAAGATATATTGCTGAATGGATCATTATTGGATTGTCCTGATTAATAACAGGATGAGTTTTTTTAAAACTTGTATTGGTATTATGTCCAAGTTTTGTGTAGCTAATTATGTTGCACTGTATCAAAAAGAGCCTTGTGATAACTTAGACTAATGGACAATATAAAAGATAGTACAGCTCTCTAACATATTCTTGAGCATAACCAAAGGTTTCATTGAGTGACAGAATCCAGGCCACTTTTTGTACTTGGCACAGATACAGCACCAGTAGAATTTATCATCCTATCCTTTTTCTGAATCTACATTACCATTTAGTGAGGATGAATCAGAATTTTGTATTTGGTAATCCAGTGATAAATTATCCTCCAGTTTCAGATCAATCATTCCTGTTCTTACTAAATAAAAAACAATATAAGTTAAAGGAAGAAAATAATAAAATAATAATTTGATTCAATATTGAATGACCATTGAAATTGTAACCGCTTTTGGTTTTTTAAAATTCTAATGTCATTGATGCAGTTTTTTGACCAAGCCAAGTAAGCCCTATTAAGTATAGTAAAGTGATGCTGCACATTTCCAAAAGGGCTAAGGATCATTTTCTTACCTTCTATCTTCAATCTGAAGTTCATTTTGTTGTATAAAGTTTTAAATAGATTTTTTTTGTAAATGTAAAAATCCACATTTGCTGTGACAGAATTGACAAGGTGTCACAGTAGGGGACCGGGATTCATCTTCCCCCCTCCACCCCACCCCCATTTGATTCAAGTAAAACTAGCTGTTTGAATCTTTTTGAATAGGAATCGCTCCTTTTGTTTTTGCATGAGAGGACTCTGACGGGACAATTATGGAGCAGGGGTCAAGGGTCACTTACTTCCTCATCCATTTTCCTCCTGTCATTAGGGGTCAGAGTTAGATTGATTAAGATCTCATGGTGTGACAAAAGCCTGGCAATCAGCAATGGTGGCTGCTTATTGTGATTGCAGTCACCAACGCTGGTCATCTGCTGGGGCCTGAGACCTCATGGGACAGAATTACATTTCCTCTTCCAGTTGTCACTTTCAGCAGAATGTGTTAATACTTGAAAGAATTGAAAGATTGGAAGGGACGTATCTGAGGTTTCAAAGTGACAGACGAGTATTGTCTGTGCCACCTGCAAGTTCATATGAAAGGGGCAATGATGTCTGACAGACTGCCTGATAAGATAGCAAGTCGAAGAGTCTGGTGATTGTATCGCTGATTACATTACTGAAAACTGATCAAAACATTTGATTTAACATAAGCTAAGAAAATAACATTCTATTACTGCCTTTCAAAATTTCAGTAGCTCTTTTTAATGAACCACAACACTAGATTTCCCAAGGAATCAATGTTGTGGTGTTTATAGAGCAGATTCCCTTTGCTGGATGTTGAATCATTCAGAAAGTCCCTATGATCCCTCTTTAATTATTGCCTCATTAAGATAATCCTCAGTTTGAAAACAGTCTGTTAATTATGATGCCCTGTTGTGAATTTTATTAATCCAAACAAATATAAAAAAATAAAGGTTGTAGTCTTGGAGCAACAGTTGTCTTTGGTGATAGAGCTATACTTCAACATTGAGGAAAATAAATGTTTTTTTGGGACCATGTATATTACTTGTTTTGACATGATAGTATTTCCAATCCGACTGAAAGTAAAATAGGCAAGTCAGAAATATGGGGCTGCATCATTTCTGAGTCACAGAATAGTATTGGTATCTTAATGTACAATTACAGCCAAATTACGAATGAGTAATAAACAGCCAACAGGTTTTGTAAGCAGTTAAGCAGTACTTGCACAAAAAGGCAACAATAACAGCCTTCAGTCCAACATTCTGGCAGTCTTAAAGGGGAACAGTTTTACAGAAAAATGTTCAACACGTTTTTCCGTTTGCATTTACCAAGCAGTTGATGTGAATCTCCGTGAAATGTTCACCTGTAATTTTGGTTCAACATTATAATGAAATTGCAGCTTTGGCGGTCCTCCTGGAATCTGGATCATTTCTATTCCACTGCACAACTACTTCCTGGATAAATATGCTCATGTAGGCAGAACTGTCAAATGTTTTTCTGATAAAGATGTTGTTTCTTTAAAGTATAACCACAGAGTATAATCCTTTTTTTTGTGTATAGAATGAAGGTATCGATTTGTTCTTCATTATTTCTCAGTAATCTATCAAAGTAAAACCAGTTATATTAGTGTAACTTTGGAGAAAAATTTATAGAAATTTGGCCTATTGAAAAAGTCTGTTTTAATCATCTGACAGCTGTTCAGGATTCAAACGCATGTCACTATTCCTAACTAAATTATTACTGTGACTGATTGATTGCAATTTAAAATGTTGCAGTGGAAAAATTCCTTCTGAATTCAGTACATGAGATTCACATGCAGCATGCTGGTGTCTTACTGTCAGTCAGTGCTGAAAAATCAATATGATCTTCCTCAATGTCATCATCATACTAACCCTCTTACCCCCATTCATCTGTTCTGATGAATGAACATTGTCAACAGCTTGTCAGCTTTCTCTTGCATATATCAATGTTCTCATTTACAAATATCTTACAGGGCATTATGCAGAATAATAATCCCATTTCCTATTCCTCTAAGGAAAGGAACGTCCTCTCCAAATTGTGTGTCTTTACACACAAGATGACTGCTGTTTAGAGATTTTGTGCAAGGTTGAAATATAGTCCATTTTAACTCTAGGCAGGATCTTAATTGGATTGAGGGGTGTGGAGAAGGGGGTAAGGGAATAAAGGAAATTAGAAATCTGTAAACTCATGAAATCTAATGTTTAAAATGACCGGGCCTCATTTACAGTTGATTGGAGGGCAGTTTGGACAATTATGTCAGTCTCAAGCGTTGAGTCCTTATTATGTTAGGAATCATCGGTTACTATCTAAAGCATCAATCTACCTCATAACAGACAAATGCATTCATTCACGACAAATCCTGCTTCTTGATGATCATTACAGAGAGGAAAAAGTTAGTTTGTTTCCTGGTTTTCTGATGCCCCCCCGGAGGGGCACACATTCGGCAGCAGCCAGGGCTGGGTGAAAATTTCCTTTGCCTCAAAGTAGCAGAATAAAATCCAACACTGCCATTTTACTGCCTGTTGGTGACAAAGGAAGTTCAGAGCAAGGGCACCACCCTGAGCATCTGAATACATGCCTGGATTCTTTGACATCAGTAGGTCAGGAATGGTCAGTCCACCTCCTTTCTGAATGTCTTCTGTTGCCTGTACTCATCCCCTCCTTCCTCTGCCATTCAGTCCATTCACCCTAACTGCAAGACTTCCCTCGTCATTGATCAAAAGGACAAATTTAGTGTCTCTCCTCACTTCACCTGTCACACTCACTCTTCTCACTAATGGCATTCTGATCTCATCAGTTCTAAATTGCATAACCTGCACTTCCTTGGCAGTGCACTGCCTCCTTATTTTACAGTCAGGCCACTCGCTTCCCATTTAATATAACTTTATTTTATAACATCTTGTGTCATTCTTCTCTCAGCTTCTCAATTACTTGCATAAATCACAGCTTCATCTCCACTTTCTTTTTACAGTAGACACAATTCTTCCCTCTGCAGGAGATGCACACATCCTCTTGGGGAAAAAGAAGTTGTTTGAGAACCATGTCTAATAATACAGAAAGGTATGCCTCGAGAGTAATTACT